AAAAAATGCCTAGGAAGATTATTCAGAAATTACTGGAATACTCGAATAGTAATTCCTAGAAAATTGTTTGTAATATTCGAGAACTAATAATTTCCAGAAAATATTAATTCCTAGAAATTATTCAAATGTTCGATAGTTTAATTCCTTGGAGCTATTAGAATATTTAAGAAATAAATCCTAGAAAATTTTCAAATACTGGAGAATCAATTTTTAGAAACTGATGAAATAGTTGAGAAATAAATTTTAGAAAGTGTTGAAATATGTGAGAAATAAATCGTAAAAATTTTTGAAATATTAGAGAATTAATTCCCAAAAGATATTGAATTAGTTGAGAATTAATTCTTGAAAACTATTAAAATATTCGCAAATAAATCCCAAAAAGTTTTCAAATAGTCGAAAACTAACCATTCATTGCTTTATTGAATGAAATTTAAATAAACGAGACTACTGAAATTTGATATACTGAAAATTATTTGCAAGAAAAAAAATAAAAAAATTTTGTTCAATAAAGTAAAGCATTTTTATATTTCTGCAAAAGTTCATTTTCCAATTTTTTGTCCTATAACTATTATTACAAATGTATTAATTACTAATTAAATTTCAAATGTGTTAATTAATTTTTTCAAAATAAAATTATCTTTTGCATTATTTGCTTTTTTTTTTTTAAAAAAAATCTATAATTCATCGTTTCAAGCATGCAAAAACTTTGCAACTATTTAATTTTAATTAATCAAATAAAAAAAAATATTTTTGCTAATGGAAACAAGAAATCAAATATAGCAATAGAAAGAAAAAAATACAGTAATAAAAAAAAGGAATTAAATACAGTAATAGTTTTTTATCGTATCATTTCTACTATTTGGTTTTATTAATTCTTTATAATTACTAATATTACTTTGATAATATTACTATCACATATGATAACATATTTGATAACAAATGAGAGAATGTATAATAAATGAAGAAAAAAAGTAAAATAGAGTAAGAAAAGTAAGAAAATTAGGTAGGGTAATGTTTTATCTTAAATTATTAATTATTTAATTAAAGATGAAAAAAATAATTTTAAGAAAAGCAAAAAATTGCAATATATTTTTATTTAAATGAAAAAAAAGAAAGTATATCACTCTCATATGTGATAACATATCTGATAACAAATAGCAATGTGATAAGAAACTTGCGATATAAATACATTTAATATTAAATTTAATTTTAAATATTTTACAAAATACGCATACTTCCCGTCGAAGTGTATTAAACATCGTATTACAAAATGAAAATGGTGAACCAATCAAAATGCGTAAATTTGAAATTTCTGTCACATTCGGTTGATTTAATTGTTGCATGAAACTCTAAAATTAATATAAATTTTAAATTGTAAACATTAAATTAAATTTTAAAAAAACATTAAATCGATTTTATACAAATAAACTAAAAATTATTTATTATATTAAAATTCATTCAAATTTAAGCATATATTTAGCAAATTACGCTAAATTATTAGATAATTATGGTAATTGTTTGAATTTAAAAATTCAAAAAAAAACTAACAAAAAATATTGCGCATAATTGATTGGAATTATTTTGATAATGATTGCATGATGAAAGTTTTTCATCAGCAAATTGGCGCAATGTTGCATTTAGCGCATGCATTTTTAAAGTTTGTTCTAACTGAAATAATTAAAAAAATTATTTATACATTGATATTTTAAAATTTCATCCTAGCTATACATAAGTATTTGTTTATTATATCAAACAAATATCTTGCAATTAACTGCAGCAACTTTTTTTTTCAACGAAAATTACATTTTGCAAAAATTAATTAATTAATGCTAATTACAAATAAAATTAATTATTTTTGGCTGAATAATGATTTTGTCTTATTTATAACTTTTCAATTTTAAAGAATACCTCACATTTTACACCAATATGATCATGTTAATTGTATTAATTAACGCTAATTAGTAATACGTCTAAAACTGCACAATTTATTCACAAAAAAAAAAATTCAACGAAAGTTTTTAAAAAAATAAAACAAAGTAGACGTGTACGTAAAAACGTAAATTATGTAAAAATTTAAAAATAAAATGATAAAATATTATTACCGGAAATGATTTAGCATCAGAAAATGTTTTTGCATAATTTAAAAATGTATTGGATTTTATATTATCATCCAAATAATTCCGATCAGATATTAAGTTTGATTCTGAAAATTAGAAAAATTATAAAATAAATAGAATGCATAATTAATATAAATAGATCATATACTTATTTTTCCTCATTTATCAATATGATACATTCATTTAGAAAGGTAATAAGAAATTTGTTAAAATTTCGTTTTAAATTTTTTCGGTTGAAATTTCAAAAAATTAAAATTTCATTTCTTTTATTTCAAATCTTTTTCATTTTTTTCTACTATTTTCTTTAAATATTTTCTTTTCTTTCCTTTTTTTTACTATTTTCTTTATACTTTAATTTGTTTTTATAATTTCTATAATTATTATATTACCAATAAATGTTGAATTAAGTTGAGTAATTTGCACTGGAAAAAGGAAATTAGACATGCTAATAAGAATATTAGCAAATGCAATCATTAAAGTACCAGCACCAATCCATCTGGCACGATTTCCCTGAAAAAAAAAAAAATGTATGAGCTAATTTAAGCAAAAAAAAATTCATTAATTATGTTAGCAAATTATTTATTTCAGATATTAATTATTTGGTTTATGTATTATTTGTTCTTTTATATTGCACTAAAAATGAATAACTTGGAAATCTATTGTCTTTTTCCTGAGATTTTATTGCTTATTTTCATTTTGCTTGCTTATTGTTACATAATTAATTATTTCATATTTAATTGTAAATGTGATAATAATTGGATATTGTTTAGGCATTTCCGATCTAATTAATTATGATATCTTAATGATAACGAAGAGAGAAAAAACGAGACAAAGTATTAATTTATTGATAAGAATATGTTACCTAAGATTTTACTTAAAATAGAATAGTTATGATATCTGAAATGTATTTATATTACGATAAAATCGCATTTACGGTAAATTCACTTCAGACATATTTGGATATAAGTTTTAAATTTTAGAAAAACAGTTTCAGGGAAAAAATTTCAGGAAAAAAAGTTAAAACAATCTTTGCTATAAAAATTAACATATTTAATTGATATGATCTTTCAGGACGTAGCTGAAAAAAGAAGCTGAAATTATAATAAAACGGTTAAAAATTTAGATTTTAGCATAAAAAAAACTGAAATTACGATAAATGACAGCAAAAAATGGTTTTTTTTCAAACTTCTGCTTTTTATTAATTATTTCGATCAATTTTTGATTTAAACGTCATCATGTCATCATTTATCTATAAAAAATTTCTGGTTATTTCAAAAGGATTCTTAATTACTGCATTATTTATTAACAGAAGATTCTTAAAATATCATTTAATTAGTAAATAATTACTGTTGAAAAAAATTTTGTTTGATTAAAATGTAGCATAAAATAAAATTTCAACAATCACTTTAGTTCACTTAAAATATTTATTATTATTAATTTAATTTCTGTCTAAAATACTTATTAAATATTTATTAATTTATGACCTAATTACTGTTAAAATACTATTAATAATTTATTCGCTTTTTCAAAATTTAAATTATATTTTAATGCATATTAATGAAACAAATAATTATGCTAATGAATTTTCAAACAAATTAATTAACTTATAAATTGAAAAGTTAGAAGGATCAAATTAATCATTTCAAAAAATTTCCAAATAAAATAATTCCCTATAATTAGTGAAAAGGTAGCAATAAAATACCTTGCTACCAAAATAGCTCACAAAAACCACCGATGGTATATAACCAAAATCACCAGCAGAAACCATCAAACCAGACATACGACTTGATATTTGAAATTGCTTCTCGATTGATACCACTACACTGTAACTCTTACAATGGTTAATTTATTGATTTTTAACATCACAAACATTGTTTTATTGATTTTTGGTTTTTTCCAAATTAACTCTTAGTAAATTTACCTTATTGAATTTCAAGAATTTTTTTTTTGTTTTTTTAGTTAACTATTAGTCATTAATTTTTGTTTTATTGATTTTTTTTACTCAATCCCTAACAAGTTTACTTTATTAAATTTCAGCGCTTTTGTTTAATTAACGTTTATTGAATTTTCGGATTCTTTTTTTAGCAATTAACCTTTAGGAAGTTTGCTTTATTGATTTTTAAGTCTTTTTATTTTTTTTTTAGGAGTTAACTCTTAGCAGGTTTATTTTATTAAATTCCAAATGTTTTTTCTTAATAAATTTAACTTTTAATACAAACCTTGACATAAAGAAGCCACCAATTGATTCCAAAAAATAAACAATAAGGAAAAAGTGTGAAGAAACAAATGACCTAAAAAAGAAAAAACTTGCAAAATAACATTTGCAAAATTACTGTAATTCTGCTAAATGAATTTTCAAA